GATTTTGACTCTCTCCTTTTGAAATAAAAATATCAGTTCTATAAATAAAAAATCAACGAAAGCTAAAATGCAATATGCAATAATTTTAAAATTTAACTTTAACCACTGTAAATTGTAGATATTTTCGACAATTACTTATAATAATAATAAATTAACTAATAAATTATGTCTTATTGATGTCTAAATTGATCGACCCTGTATAATAGAAGTGTGTAAGAACGCGGAAAATTGTAAAAAAAATCTTTCTCTTTCCGGGTAATGCTCTAACTTTTACGAATTATCCAATGAAGTATTTAAAAACTCTAAAGATTAAAGATGAAAATTTAACAAAAAATAATTATGTTCTAATTTTATATAATTAATGCATAAATTTGGTTTTGTTTCCTTATTTATTTCTTAAATTATATTTAGTACTAGTTCATTAATATGAATATGATTTATACATTCTTTTACATTTAAAACGTAAAAAAATTCATATTGATTCGAATGCGATACATTATTTTTGGGACGTACTGTACAGAAGACTGTTTTCTACCAAAAATTTCATCTTAATTTTGCATATAAACACGCTTTATAGTTGTTATAGAGTTCATCCAGAGTTCAAACTAATAAAACCTATTATGTGTATTAGTACAATCTAATAAGGCCATTAAATTTCATTTTCTTTACTTTAAGGCGATTGAAACAGTATTAATTTTCTTATTAAATAATTAATAGTATTATTAGTTATTTATAAACTAATGTTGCGGAATATGTTTTTATATTTTAAATTTTCAAGCGGAACTTTTGGTTCTCTTATCATACCAGACTGATACAATGATTACAAATACAAATTAATAAACAACAAAACACTTAAATAGCGCGTAAAAAGTTTTTTAGTAAAAAAAATTGTAAAATAAAACTTTAAAAATTATAAAAGGCCGTAAATTAAAATACCAATTACTCATAATAATTGGTCAATTAATGTTTAAAAAAGATAATTTTCTAGATGCATACTAAACACTGCTATTTTTTGCAAACACCATATGCTCAATATTACTAAAAAATACTACATAGCAAACAATAAATCGGTTTTACACAAAAAGGCAAAAAATTTTTACTTATTTTTCGCTTTCAGTGTATTAAATGACCTAGAAAATTATTTTTTTTTAGCAAACAAGTTGAAACAAAGAAGGTAAATTGTTCTACAGTACCTTCGTGTACTAATTACTTACTTGAGAGCTCTTCTACTGTCAATAACTTTTTTCTTTTCCCATCCTTCTTCAGTTTTAATCCATAATTCACCGGGAGATCGCCAGTCTTTTGAAATAAATGGCATTTTTTATATATAAAAAAAAACTGTTTTACTGTAAGCAAGACGAACAGCTGAGTTTGACATCAACTGTCACCAGTCCAGCACAAGTTGTGCGCAAATGCGGCAATCAGCTGGTGTGAATGCTCTGTTTATTGTGGCTGGAACCATTTTTTGCGTCTGTTTTTTTTTGTCTCGTACTATTTTTAAATTTAGAAAAAAAAAAGTGGAAAAGGAAGTCGGAAAGTATTTTAATCACCTGGTGCTGGACTTCTCAGCATTGAACTGAACGAATCCATACCGCCTTTGTCACGAAAATTTTTTATGACGGAAGGAAAACTCAAATTACTCTTGTAATTTTCAAAATAACATTACCCAGTTGCTATGTGGTGGTTCGGGTGAGAAAGATGAGACGGACGAAATGAAGACAGAAGAGAGTGAAAGATTATCTGTGGAATATTACTGCCCCTGCATTTGCCTAAGTGATCCAAGGAAACCACAGAAAAACTTAGACCAAGGCAGACGGACGGACCCGGAATCGAACCGGCGTCCTCCCGAATGCTAAGCAATGGTCTAGACCTCTAGGCCATGCCGTTCGGTACATAGCCATTATCAACGCGAGACTAATGTGGGCGAAACACGTGTCCGCTCAAAATGTGTTTTGTGGTAATTAGGAGTGAGTCTTCTTTTTAATTTTTTAATTAATATTTACCACGATCTACTCTTTATACTATGTAATTATAGGGTTTTATAGTACAGTGGCTTTTCCGAAAAATTAATTTTTATTTCTTGGAGAATACTCAAATCGATATTACAACTTACGTTAGATAGAGTAGGTTAGACTACAGTGTGAAACAATTCTCCCTTCTCCCTGAGAAGCTTTTATGACCCCCCCCTCCTTAGGTGTGACTCTAAATGCAGTATTTGTATCTGTAATTTTACGATCAGTTTTAATCAGTGACTGTTAAACTTTCGGAGATAACGTAATTAAGAACTGATTATTAAAAAAAAATGTGTAAAACATCTTCTCGCCAACCGCCCCCCCCCCTATCAATTTATTTTCATATAAGTTTCATAATTAGACCGTTTTAAGCCATATCCAAGAAATAATAGATAAATTTTCGAAAAAGCCGTGATACAGAAATTTATTTTGAGGATCAAACTTATGAATAACAATTTATTTCAAGATAAGTTAATAGCTTGGTAACTAGATATTTTTTATGTAATAGGTATTTCATTTCAGAATAACCTTTAAAAATTAAAAAAATATATTTTTATTGACAAAAACTGCGTTCAAAACATTAATTACAAGTGATATTTAATAGTATATCCAAACGACTACCAGTCCTGAAAGATGTACTGTATAATAATATAATTCGTTTTCGTTTGTACCAATGAACACAAATTCTGTCGGTGGTGAAGTGCCATTTGATTTTGCCCGTAAAATTAGAACTTGTCTATCCTAAAGGANAAAAAAAGTGGAAAAGGAAGTCGGAAAGTATTTTAATCACCTGGTGCTGGACTTCTCAGCATTGAACTGAACGAATCCATACCGCCTTTGTCACGAAAATTTTTTATGACGGAAGGAAAACTCAAATTACTCTTGTAATTTTCAAAATAACATTACCCAGTTGCTATGCTACATACATAAATAATTAAATATTAAATAAAAAAATTATATCTGTTACGCATTTAGATAGAACTGATTTATATTTCAAAAAAAAAACAAAAGCACATAAAAATAATTAAAAAAAGACGTTTGGGATTTTTTGTGTTTAGTGTTCTCTTAGAACGTTTTCCCAGGAAAACTAAGCCTATTGTGTAAACAATTCTATATCACAGGGAAAACAAAAAAAAACACAAAAAGATTAGAAAGAGCAGAGCTCTCTGCCTTCCTTTAACATTTTCCTAAGAGAAATTTAATTTTAGTATAAATAAACTCTATATTTTACATAATAAACAGCTATTAAATTTGATATTTACAGCACATTCATTACTAAATAATTACATAGGTACTTTAAGAAGATAAGTACCGAAGATAAAAAGTTTTTGTTCCAGTTTATTGGAGATACTCTTAAAATTTAATTTTGAAATAAAATCCGAAGCTGTAGTTGTTTGCAGGCTACTAACATAACATATACGTAGGTGAGGATGCATAACTTGATTCCCCATTCTGTCTAAAATTAAATAAATATACAGTACTTGTCGTAAATTTTGTAGCATGTTCATGAATGAACACTTACATATACGTATTTCTAAAAGTAAGTCGCTTAATTCAGAAGAGAACTAACTTCTTTTAAAAGTCATGGTAAATTGTGGAAACTAATAAAAAAAATAGTGAAATACTGAAATTAAAAAGAAATTGTAATATATCACTGTATTTGATAATGAAAGTTTTGAAAATAATGGAAATATTTTATGTAGGATTTAGAAAATAGTTTATTAAACATAACTGAATAGGTTAATAACGTATCCACCTATCTCATCAATTAATTGGGAAACGTAAAAAACAGCACCCGTCTCACCACCTTGCCACATTACCGACTCGCTCAATATGATTTTGACTCTCCAATTTAATTTTAATATAAAATCTGTCTAATTATACGACTGTTAACATACTCAGAGGTAGGTTTTAGCTTGCCATTTTGAGTAGACGTAGAAATAAACGAATTTTGATGTATATTTTTAAAACAAAGTAATAATTTATGAAATGTCAGATTTTCGAAAATTTTGGCGTGAATTAAATTACCGATTAGCATGATACAGAAAATCTTATTGCAAAACGGTGGGTTAACAAGAAAAAAAGGTAATTGAATTGAAATCGACAATAACATCTTTTATTGGAGAGTTTATAAACAGCAGTACAAAAACTAAGAATGCTAATTAGAACAATTAAAATAAATAAGGAAATTACATTTAGATCTTAGACAGCACTTACAATAATAAACATTCGTACACGGTATTGTTATAATAATTTAATTAATTAAGTGTATATCCTACGTATGTACAGTTTATGACGAATTTACACTTTGAAACAAAATAGCATTATGATTAAGTAACAATAGAATCTCAAAACACAACCTTATGTTTTATGGCCGATTTTCAGTGCTTATCATATCATTAATAAATACACGGCTTTTATGCCGCAGTAATTGACTAAATACACACGGTATAGAATGTACAGAATCGATTAAAAGTTATGTATCTACTTGCGGATAAATTAACATACTTAATCTGTAATTTTTGCGAAAGATTTGTATCGAAAGTATTTTTTTGTTTGCTAAATGCTTACTCTATAATAGTAACTTTACTCCTTCTTAGAGTAAACAGTTGTCCTCAAAAAATATTCTCCTTAATATTTTAAGGTTAATTTTTGGCTTTTTGGTATTTTTTGCAACTATAATGATTTTAGTTATGAGATATGCAGAATTATTTTTTGTAGTAGGAGTACTTTTTGGCTATTACTTTTAGATTCACTTGTCCTTTGCCCTTTTGAAGAATATTATTATTGGACACCGTACCTTACAATATTACTTGTAACGTAAAAATGTACATTACAATTATTACAATGTTTACGACCCTTATTGAGCCTATTCATTGCACTCACATTCAAATAATTTCAAGTACGGGCTGTAACACCACCTTTTCCAACGGTTACACCATTACAATAAGAATTATCACAAAATATGGGACAAATATTTTTTGTTTCTTTTGATTTTTAGTTGTAAAATTCAACTTCCTCATAATTTGTGTTTGAAATATAAAATGTCTCCGCTGCCGGCAACGGTTTCTGTAAATTAAACTCTTTGCGTCGGCGCACTACGAACATATCGTATTTAGCCACTCCCACGGTCCATGCCGTCACAAACAAAAACATTACTGATATAGGTGAATGGTTCAGTGGCTACAGCGCTCTCGCTTGACATGCTGGGGACCCGGGTTCTGTTCTAGGTTGATTTAATACCTTTTTTTTTCGTGTTTTATCTTTTACATTCGGATGTTGTTGCCGACAACGAAGGTACAGCCTAAAACTTATCTACTTATTGTATGTAGTTAGATGAGTCTTACATACAAATGGTACAAAAAGAATAAATTTTGGATATCTAGTAGGCTCAGACGGATTCAGGTAACTTCGATATCTACATAGGTCCTGATGATAAAATAAATTGATATGCGCAAATGTAACTTTATAGCACAATGATATGTAACTTACGATATTGTTGTTAGTAGATACTTAATATTAATTCAGTTAATTAATATGGCATTCGCTCGTATTATGTATCTAATGATAACGAAAACGATATGTACTACGAGATAGTAATTAATGTGTCATACAAAAATGGCTGCTATTTCAAAGAGTATTTTTCATTCACCGTTTCGTTAACGTTACTGGTGATCATTCTCAAGAGATCTTTGGGACTCGGTGGACAGATTCCCTTGAGGAAGTTTTGAGAACAAAAATCTACAAAAGTGTAAGCTAAATAGCTTTGTCGCTTGTAATATTAGATATAACATTTATGGTAGAATTTGAAGGTATAAAACTTCGTGAATCTTTAGAAATTCTATCCCTGCTGATGAATTGTCTTTTCGTTTCCTATAATTAAGTATCCATTCACTTTATTTATTAATTAGGTATCACTTTGTTAAATCAGTTTTTTGTTTCTAAGGTTTTTATTGAGTATTTTAAGTAATCGATTTTAGATATTCACTATACTCCTCCGGTGTAATTGAATCATCTAGATCTACTTCTTCAAATCTGAAAAGTAATAAACTTTTAGAACAGTTGTACTGCTGAGCTTTTTAATATATAAAAAAAATACAACGAGTAATTATACAACACGCTACTGAAGTGAAACTTCTTCAAACACATAAACATACCGGGATAGCGGTTAAGGAATTGGTTTAATGTTATTATTTGTACACTATGAATTTAAATTTTACACTATACATGCCGGAGTTGCCTGTAACGAACGTTGCATTGAAGCGCGCTCACGGCTCAAGCGATCCCCACTACGAA